CCCCCCCACAAAAATGAAGGAAACCTTTTCAAATTTATTCAGAAACAATTTCCAATACTACTATATTTTTGCAATGGTGATAAATAAATTTAAAAGTCAAACAATATTAAATGTAGGAGTATACCTACACAACATGCTTTCTTGCATGGCAAACTATACGTTGCACTATCTAGAGGAATATCTATGCCAATAAAAAAAGTGCAGGGCATGTGTGAACAACCAGATTGATGCACCGGGACATACACAAGAAATACTATCTACAAAAAAAGTATTAGGTGAGATTTGATTAATACCAAAATTGTAAGAAATTAAACAAGAAAAAACATACACCACACATGTAGTTAATGAAATTATATTGGACAAATTCTTAGGTTTGGTGGAAGAGGAGACGAAATGAAAAACACTAGAGAGCTACCACAAAAGACATTACTTTTGTGTATATAAAGTTATTCAAATACAGGGTACAGTGAATTTCAAATAGTAAAAGGGAACATACAGTTCATGACACGACATAACTAAGAGGACAAACTGTTAATTTGTGCACAATTACTTACTAACAAATTGCCTAATCACAATTTAAGAATACGATGTTCGTCACTACATACCCAACAAGCAAGAATGCAAATAGATTGGCCATTCACTTAGTATGATGCAGTCCAATATTAAATACATATTGATATGTTGAAAGCCTAAAACATACATAAAAGATAAAATATCTCGTGTATAGGGATCTTAAGACTTAACCTACACGTGCGTTCAGTGAATCTAGTATATAGATAGATAGATATATTCTTCTAAACAAGATTCATCATCCCTTTAACTAATTAAAGTTGTTATTTTGTCAGACAATTATTTTGTTGGTACATATGGGAATGATACTATTTATTCTAGGTTTTCAGAGTGGTTTAGAGAATATGTAAGTGTTACCTAATACTATTAAACATTTTCCCACCAATTATATGTATTTTTAGAATTCTAAATTTTCTTTAATTTTATATAGGTTCATAATCCAATTAATGTCGTGGATGTCGTGAATGTCCAATTTTTTACGTGATATTTCTTTGGGACCTGATCATAGAGTTAGAATAATGTCTAAGTACTTCATCTATGGGTATACATTTCATACAGAAGAATGGTCCAAAGGCAAGAAAACCAACAATAGTGGGTGTGGGTGAAAGGTGAGGGGGATATTGACTATTAAGGTGTGCTTCAAGAGATTATAGAACTCCAGTATGTTGTTGGTTGGCCAAAGAAAAATCTAGTAATATTTTTGTGCAAGTGGTATGATCCTGATTCTAGTGGTACAAAGGTCCATCCTCAATACAAAATAGTTGAAATTACTCACACGAGGCAGTATTGTTTCTATGATCCATTTATCATTGCACATAATGTGAAACAAGTGTAATACATTCCTTATCCTTTGTGCAAGAATAAATCTTCATGGCGTGTAGTTATAAAAACAAAGCTCGTGGGGAGAGTGGAGGCTGAGGATGCATTGTATGTAGCGTATCAAAATGATATTTCAAGTGTGGAAGCAATGGTGGATGATGAATTAGCAGGTGAATTGCAACATATATAGTGAAGGCATCTATGAAGAATTTGATGCTACTGTCCTTCAATCAAATCTAAATAATTATGGGGAAGGAACATCCAGAGCTAACGAGGAGAAATCCCAAACTGATGAATATGATAAAAGTCATGCGGAATTGCTTGAAGAAAATGAAATAAGTGATGAGGAAGAATTTGATGGTGATTATGAATCAAATGAAGAAGATTGACTTGTTTGGATCATTATCTTATCCAATGTTTTTCTCTTGAATTTAGTGTTAGGCAATTGACATTTTTTCCAGCTTATTATTATTATTATTACTGTTTTTTACTTATTTCAGTTTAGTGCTTCCTATTTTCTAGGTAGACTTAGTCAACTTTAGTTGCTCAACTTTCTCAAGTTAGTGGCCCCTTTTATGGCTGCTAGTGGCACATGTTCTTATTTAGTTTTAACATACACTTTGTAAGTGGCTACTAGATAGGAAATGCTTAGGTTTCTCCTTGTATAAATTCAGATCTTCTGCAAGTTAATATATAGCCAGAATTTCACAAGTTCACTCTATTTTTATTCTTCAAATCAGTTTTTTGAGTGTTTCTATTCTAACAGTGGCAACAGAGCCTCTAGTTGATCTTACAAGATAATTTTTTTGTAACCTACAACATAAATGGCATCAAACAACCTACCTTTATATTTACCATTCACTTTCACCGGTGAAAATTACCAAATCTGGTCCGTGAAGATGCCAGCTTTTCTGGAATCCTAAGAACTTTGGGAAACTGTGACGGAAGATAAACCATTTTCTGCTCTACCAGCAAATCCTACCTTGGCTCAAATCAAATCCAAAAACGAAGAGAAGGCATAGAAATCTAAATCCAAGTCGCTTATTGAGAATGCTTTGACAAATTCGGTATTTTACAGAATCATGGCTTGCAAAATAGCAAAAGAGGCTTGGGATAGGTTGAATGAAGAATATCAAGGCAGTGATAGAACACGTCAAATGCAAGTGTTGAGTCTGAAAAGAGAGTTTGAGTCCTTGAATATGCAGGAGGATGAAACAATCAATAAGTACGTTAATCGAATCTCCTTAATTGTTAATAACATTAGACTTCTTGGTGAAGAATTTACAGACAAATGAATTGTAGAGAAAGTTCTTGTGACTCTTCCCGAGAGGTTTGAATCTAAGATTTCCTCTCTTAAGGAATCCAAGGACCTGGGCAAACTTTCATTAGGTGAACTAATGAGTGCTCTTCAAGCACAAGAGCAAAGGAGGACTATGAGATGGGACAAGTTCACTGAAGGAGCTTTCTCTGTACAATAGCAAATATTTAGTAAAGGAAAGCAACAGTTCAACCAAAAGAATAAGGGCAAGCATGATGGATGAAACAATAGTGAAGATGTGAAGCAGAAGTTCCCTCCATGCAAACATTGTAAAAAAACTAATACACATCTGGAGAAGTACTGTTGGTTGAGAGTCGATGCTATATGCGGCAACTGTAAGCAGATGGGGCACATATCCAAGGTCTGCAAATCAAGAGAAAAGGCGTCTGGTACTTTTGCAAGCACAAGTAGTAGAAGCTACAGATGCACATGAGGAGCAACTCTTTGCAGTTTCATACTTTTCAATCAATGAATCCCCTGATTCATAGCTTCTTGATAGTGGTTGCACACATTTCTTGTGTAATGATGCTGAAATGTTCAAATTCCTTGATCGTACCTACAAATCTAAAGTAAAAGTGGGAAACGGTGAGGCAATAGAAGTCAAAAGCAGAGGTACAATGTCTATCTCAACAATATCAGGTATAAAAACTATTCCTGATGTTTTGTACACACCTGATATGAGTCAAAATTTGTTGAGTGTTGGACAAATGCTTGAAAATAATTATTCTCTGCATTTTAAGAATTGTGAATGTGTTGTTTTTGACCCTTCTGGAGTAGAATTATTTTATGTTAAAATGAGCAACCGAATGTTTTTAGTTGATTGGGAGAAAATGACTGAGCAGGCTTACACTATTACTTCACAAACATGTATAAACCTATGGCACAAAAGGTTCGGTCACTTCAATCTGAGAAGCATCGCAGAGATGAAAAAGAAGGAGCTAGTGGAAAATATGCCTGAATTTCTTTCTAATGCTCAATTTTGTGAAAATTGCCAACAGGGAAAGCAAACAAAATTGCCATTTCAATCAAATCAAGTATGGAGAGCTAACCAGAAACTTCAGCTCATTCATACAGATGTTTGCGGCCCAATGAAAACAGATCCGTTGAGTGGTAACAAATACTTTCTCCTCTTTATTGATGACTACACCAGAATGTGTTGTGTTTATTTCATTAGACTGAAGAGTGTATATTTTCCAACAGAGTGAAGTCTTTGATGTTTTTAAACAATTTAAAGCTTTAGTAGAAAATCAATGTAATCTTAGTATTAAGGCTTTAAGGTCTGACAATGGAGGAGAATATACTTCTTCTCAGTTTGTGGAGGTTTGTAATAGCACAAGTATTGTACGCCAATTGACATTACCATACACTCCACAACAAAATGGTGTGTCTGAAAGGAAGAACAAGACGATAATGGAGATGGCGAGATTTCTTATGCTCGAAAGAAAGATCCCAAATCAGTTTTGGGCTGAGGCAGTCAATACCTACTAAGGCCTTGCAGGACATGACTCCATATGAAGCTTTGTGTGGGAACAAATGATCAGTACACCATCTCAGAATCTTTGGGTGTATATGTTATTATCGTGTTCCAGAAACAAAGAGGAATAAGTTGGAAAACAAGGCTCATAAGGGCATATTTATGGGCTATAGTTCATCCAAGGGATACATGATTTTTTGTATGAAATAAAAAAAAACTAATTCTCAATCGAGAAGTGAAGTTTGATGAAGCAGATGGTTGGGATTGGAAAAATCAGAAAACCTCTCGTTTTGATTTATTTTCAAAAGAGCAACCTCAACTTCTAGAAGATGAACTAGTGGATGATGTACCAGTGAGGGGAACTCGAACCTTAAAAGATGTCTATCAACGGTGTAATTTGGTTACCCCTGAACCAACAAGCTATGCTGAAGCACAATACTCTTAGGCATGGAGGAGAGCTATGCAAGATGAACTAGACATGATCGAGAAGAATGGAACCTGGTAGCTTATTGACAGAGCTATAAATCGCAAGGTGATTGGTGTAAAATAGATTTTCAAGACAAAACTCAATCCCGATGGAAAAATTTGCAAACATAAGGCTAGATTGGTGGTGAAGGGATACACACAACAATATGGTTTGGATTACTAGGAAACATTTGTTTCTGTAGCAAGGTATGACACAATCAAGCTTATTCTTACATTTGCATCTCATAGTTCCCGGAAGATTCATCAACTTGATGTCAAGTTGGCTTTTTTGAATGGTTTGCTTGCCAAAGAGATTTATGTAGAGCAACCTGAGGGTTTCTCAATTCCTGGAAAAGAGGATCAAGTTTATCTCTTAACGAAGGACTTGTATGGCCTAAAACAAGCCCCGAGGGCATGGTATGAGAGGATGGACAATCATCTCATCCAAATTGGCTTTAGTAGAAGTCAAAGTGAAGCAACTTTGTATGTGAAAGTCACTGCAGGTGAGTCCTTAATTGTCTCAATTTATGTACATGACATTCTTGTGACAGGAAGCAAAATTGAACCAATCCAAAGGTTCAAGGATACAATGGAGAAAATCTTTCAAATGACTAATCTTGGAGTCATGAAGTACTTCCTTGGCATGGATGTGTTGCAGTCCAGTGATGGAATTTTAATATCCCAGCAGAAATACATTGAAGATATTCTAAACATATTCAAAATGCAAGACTGCAAACCTGTGAGTACTCTAATCTCTACTGGTGTGAAGCTTGGCAAGGATGAGGATTCCAAAAAAGTGGATGATAGTATGTATAGAAGCTTAATTGGCAGTCTTCTATATCTAACCACAAGCAGATCTAACATTCTATTTGTTGTAAGTTTTGTCTCTAGGTTCATGCATTCTCCTAGAGACACACACTTCACAATGGCTAAAAGAGTGTTAAGGTATATTAAAAAAACCAGCAAGTTTGGAACTTTTTTCCCAACATCTGCTGAAGTAACTATGAACCTGGTCGGGTACTCTAATAGCGATTGGGGTGGCGGAGTTGATGATTCGAAAAGAACCTCTGGATATCTTTTCTACTTGGGGACAAGTTGTTTTAATTGGAGCTCTAGGAAACAAAAAACTACAGCTCAATCAACATCAGAAGCTGAGTACATAGCTTGTGCATCTACTGTGAATCAAGCAATCTGGCTAAGGAAGATGTTGAAGGACTTGGGCCATGAACAAACAGAAGCTACCAAGATCATGTGTGACAAGAGTTCAGCAGTTTCAATCTCAAAAAATTCAGTGTTTCATGGTCAAACTAAGCATATCAAGATCAAGTTTAGTTTTATAAGAGAAGTCCAACAATCTAATGAAGTGTTGTTTGTTCTTTGTTCATTTGAGAACCAACTAGCTGACATTTTCACTAAGTAATTGCCAAAGGAAAGGTTTCAAGATCTGAGGTAAAGAATTGGTGTTTGCCACAAAAATGCCAAGGAAGAGTGTTAGACAATTGACATTTTTTCCAGCTTATTATTATTTTTGTACTGGTTTTTACTTATTTCAGTTTAGTGCTTCCTATTTTCTAGCTAGACTTAGTCAACTTTAGTTGCTCAACTTTCTCAAGTTAGTTGCCCCTTTTATGGCTATTAGTGGCACATGTTCTTATTTAGTTTTAACATCCACTTTGTAAGTGGCTACTAGATTGGAAATGGTTAGGTTTTTCCTTGTATAAATTCAGATCTTCTGCAAATGAATACATAGCGGGAATTTCATAAGTTCACTCTATATTTATTCTTCACATATGTTTCATGAGTGTTTCTGTTCTAACATTTAGTTGGTATGTTGGAATATGTCGGATTTGATAATGTTTGACTTGAGCTTAATGTGGGCTACAAAAAATTCATTATCTCATAATTTAGATTGTGTAGATAAGTTTCTGGTTGAGTATTTTTGTATTTTATAACAAAGGGATTTGAATTTTTTCTGATTGAGTATTCCTATATTGAAAGTGCTACTGTTTTATCATGATTTATTATAGGTAGTTTTATGTAAATTTTATTGGTTATAAGCTTTAAATTTTTCTAGCATATGGTGATTTCAGAGCATATTATTTTTCTAGCATATGGATTTCACTAAACTTTTCACCACTAAGTCCTCAAAAAATCACATAATGTCCTCGATCAGCAGCAATGTTCACGTGGCTAATATCATTGGAGGATTATGGTTAAGATTGTAGGTTCAAGGGGCTTCGGCTGTGTCAAATATGGGAATGTTTTTAGCTAAGATGAGTAGTGACTCATATCAGCTTTTGGGAATGGTAGAACGGGGGATGCTTCCTAATTTTTTCGCAAAGAGATCGTGTTATGGAACCCCTCTTATCAGTATTTTGTTTTCTGCATCAGGTGTTGTGCTGCTGTCTTACCTTAGGTTTCAAGAAATTGTAGTTGCTGAGAACTTTGTGAACTGTTTTGGTATGATTTTGGAATTTCTATCTTCTTCGATGTTAAGGATAAAATATCCAGCAGCATCAAAACCTTATAGGATTCCACTACTCACTCTTGTTGAAGTAGATTTTAGTGCATCGTACAACTGCTGGAAAAACACCTCTTTGGGTCATATAAAAAGAACTTCCTTATAGTTGGGCATTGAAACTGAAAACCTTGATCCCTTCATTCTGCTTTAGTGAGAGTGTGTTGTGTTAAACAACATGTTTGGGTAATAAGAATGTAAGTGTTGGTGTGGTCTTTTATGATTTCTCCTTCCTATTGAGCTTGAAGGTGATGTCTTCATCAGCAAATATCCAACATATATAGGAGGGGAAAATGTTTAAAAGGATGCCTATATGTACAATGCTAGGAATTTGGCTTGTTGTTGCTAGATTATCTTGTTGTATATACTACTAGGGTAGAATGAGATCAAATAACTAATAGCTGAGGATATTGAAGTAAAGAGAGTTGTTTCATCCCTGGGAAAATTACTAATAAGAAAAAGGTATGGTAGTTGATGTCTCCATTACTTGGCCTAGCATAATTCGATGGTTAAATATTCTTAATCCAGTACATTCGGAGGAAACAACATGACTCTCAACCAGCTTCATTGTCACCTACAAGTCACTCCAGCCAGCCAGATGTAGGTCCTCTTAATATTCTTAATCCAGTTGATTAGGTCTTCTTCAAAGATGCAACCAAGTTGTAGTTTTGTTAGAAAATTATTCTTAGTATTATAGGTTAAACTAAAATTATATGTACAACTCCAACATTATGTCTTCCATTAAGTTACTAATAAATTGAAAACAATTCATACGGAAATGGGATCCCCAATAACCAGAGACAAAAGATTCATATGAGAAAACATAAGTAAACAGGCCTCTACTTGAACCTGCAAGGATAAAGGTACATGAACAACAATTTTACCTCCATAAAAATTGGTGTATAATCCCTTGCAAACTAATGGATGTAAACAAATAGCGCCCCTCCACTAAAATGGGCTGGATTGCCTAATCTATGCAGATTGGATGCTCTATTCAGCAATATAGGATGTCCATGCGTAACTTCTTGATTAGTAAAAGAGTACTCTTCTTATGTAGTTATTCATAAGTTGTATCCCCTTACATCTAACTATTAAATGAATAAGTTTCATACCCCAAAAACATGAAAAAAAACATACTAATATCAATGTGACTTATGTAGGAAAACATATTTGACGAGGAAAATGTAGAGTCTGAATAATGAAGACCTGGAAAATATGAAGACATCAAGATTTTTCCGATAGAAGTTCTGGAAACCTCACTGTAGTTGGCGTTGTTAATGGAGAATATGTGACATTTAACTCTACTTTTCTTAGTTGCAACTTTCTCAACCTTTATTCTGTGATCTGTCATCTGTAAAGGGGGATTTAGAGTGAAGGTTTATATAAATAGTTTTTGGGGTTCATAGGACTAGTTCATACTATATAGCACATGAACTATTGGGATGAGCTTGTGCGTTGAACATTGAGATCATGTCAGGTGTACTTCTGCACACGTGAGGTGTAAGTATCCCGAGACAACTATCTCTATGTCTGTCCCAAAGTATCTCATCTCTATATGAGTACCTGACGAGTCTCGAGTTTGCCTTCCATACGTGATCCTCAGACTAAAATGTTACTTAAGGTGTAACTTGGTTGCATCTTTGAAGAGGACCTACATATGCAACTTGGTTAAATTCCATGTTTTTTTATGAAGTTTATTTTTTGAGCTGTTGATTGGGAATCAGGTTAATGGTTAACAGATTTGATCAAAATGCTTTACGTTCTTTAGTTTTACTTGTTCATGTATAATTTCAAAATTAATACTCACTAATAAATACTCTTGTAAACTCCATCATCCTCAGACTACACTGAGTATGTTGTTGTTTGTAATAATAAGTAAAAATTTAACAGTAGACAATAGCTGGATCTTCTAAATTGTGTTTTATGTGTGCGTGGACTCAACTACTTTTTGTTTGATCTTGCTGTAGTGGAATTTGGTTGTAGTCTTTTTTTTGCTTATGAGAATGGATTGGTATAGCAGCCTTATATTTATGTTTCTCTAGTATAATGATATTAATAAGCTGTATAATTGATGAATTGGCAAATTGTTGTTTGATGTATTTATTGTAATTCCATTAGAAATTGACTGAAGCAAGTTTATATTAAATTTAATTTGGTAGACTGCTTATCATGTAAAGACGATTCTTGTGGCTTGATAGGCTAGTTGAAATGTATAATTTTACCTGAGTAAACAGAAATAGTTTCAGCTTCTGTTACCTAATGTATCCTTGTGCATATTTTGAGTTTCTTTTAAGGCAATGAAGAAGACAACTGGAAAGCGTCGAAAGCATAAATAAGAGGAAACAACATGATTCTCAACCAGCTTCATTGCCACCTACAAGTCACTCCAGCTAGCCAGATGTAGGTCCTCTGAAGGTGAATTCATTGCCACCCACCTTTCCTCCTCAACCAACTTCACTGCCATATGTCGCTCCTACTCAACAACATTCACTGCCACCCGCTATTACTTATATGTCGACATCATTACCCTTAGCTTTCCTCCACTATCGACTTCATTACCACCTTCTTGTTTTAGTATACCACCATGTGGGTCTATCTAAAATAACTCCACAACTTCTCATGGCAGGAGTACAGGTCTTCCTAATAATATTGTTCCCACACCTCGTATAAATTCTTCTTCGAGTTATCATATAAGTAAAAAAGGCAGCTCCTCATCTCTGCTTCCATCATCGACTCAAATTGTATCTCCAACATCATCGACACCTAGTATATCTAGGTCAAATATTGGAGTCCCTGTACCAACATCACCATCTATGATCAGTAGTACTACTACACCTGCTTGTTCAAAGACTCAAAATTCTTGAGATATTAGAGAATATGATGCTTTTCATAGGCTGATTATTACCCCTTATGAGGATGGGTAAGTTATCCTTATGTTATCTTTATCTTATTTTTAATTTGGTGAATGTACGTCTTACATGAATTAAGTTTAATACAGGTTTGCGCCATCATATCTTGGCTCGCGTATTGTTTCAGAATCTATTACACCATTCTTCGATGATGCTTGGGGTAGATGGAAAGAATTTCCCTACAATATCAGAGAACAAGTATGGAATCAATTTAAGATACAAATAAAATTTATTCTTATATTAGTTATCAAATTTTAATCTAATGATATTCTTTTATTGTGCAGACGAAGTGTGTATGGCAGCCATGTTATAAGAATAAAATAAATTCCATTTTTGCTAATAATGCTCGTAAACGAGTTACTGATATGTTGTTTGAAGATCGAAAAAATAATGAGCAGCCCAGTTGGCTACGAGAAGACATATAGGTTAATTTTTTGGAGAAATGGAACACTCCTGAATTTTAGAAGTGTGAGCGAGCAAAGGCAACTCGGGCCTCCGTAAAGGGTGTCTCTTTACACACTGGCGGTTCTATGAGTTTCGCAGCCCACAAACGCAAAATGGTAATTTTTAAATTAAATTTCCTTACTTTTAACTAATTGCGATTGAACTTCATTGTAACATCCGGTAATTTGAAATATCTATGAAGAGACTTAAAAATTGGAAATAGTCATTTTTGGAATAAAATTGAAAATCTGGAAATTTGGCCGTGTGGAAATCAGTGAGTTTTTGGCCAACTTTGAGCGGTCATAACTCCTAGCTCAGGATGAGTTAGGAGTAGTTCCAGTTATTTTTGGAAATCCCTTGGAATGATCTTTCCAACGCCACTGAGTTTGCTCGATTCCGAGTTCGTATGAGTGAGTTATGCCCTTTGGAAGTTGGGCAGTTGGCAGGGAATCCGTCCGGAAATTTGTAAGGGTATTTTGGTCTTTTCCCTAGCCTTTTATTTTGGTTATATAAATGTGTTAGGCTGATTTTTTTATCAGTTTTACCATTTTAAAAGAGTGAGAGTGAGGGTTTTGAGAGAGAAGAGAAGAAGAAGAGAAGAAGAGGAGATCAAACAAGTTTCCGTCGTGGATATCGTCGGGGCTGATTCCTATTAAGGTATGTGAGTAGTTAGTGTGGGTTGATCCCTTTCCCCCACACACCAAGCCCCTTTTATTTATTGAGAAAGGATTGGTTGTGTTTGTTGAAGTTGTTGGTTGTATTTGTTGAAGTTTGTGGTTGTGTTGGTTGAAGTTTGTGATTGTGTTGTTGAAGTTTCTTGTTGGTTTGGTGTATGTTTTCGGTGGTGTTTTTGAGTTGAATCTATGGTATATTGAGGGTTTTAATGATTCTAAGTGATTTGGGGAAGAAACCATTCGATTTTAGGTGAAATAAGGTGAGAAAACGAGAAAATGAGCTTGCTGAAATTTCTGGGTTGGGGGCCTGGCGCGACGCGCCTGCCAGAGCGCCCCAAACTCACCTCTGAAGTTTAGGGGCTGG